ACAGTTTCAATAGCATCAAAACCTAACTGTACAGACATTCATTTCATAAAAAGAATTCCAATAATAGACTTACAATAATACAATCATAAAAATACAATACAATAATAAAATAATACAATAATAAAGGACACAATAATACAGTCATAAAATAATACAATCATAATATAATACAACAATAATATAAAAGATTATAATAATACAATCATAGCCTAACTACAGCCATTTCATAATGAGACAATACATGTTAACAAAAACTAAATTATACATAGAACACGATGGCAATCACGATGATAATGATAACAATTTGATAACGATAATGATAATGATGGAGGTAATGATAATCATGATGATAATAACGATAACGATGACGATAAAAATAAAGAAAATGATAACGATAGAGATGATGATGACTATAAAGATAATGGTGACGATGACGATTGTAATGGTAAAGATACTGATAAAGATAATGATAACGACAACAATAACGATGATAACGAACAACAATACTGCTAATAATAATAATAATAATCACAACAAAACAACAACAATAATAATAATAACAAAACATATCAAAACTAATAATATAGATACAATAGCAATAATAACAACAGTAACAAAGTATTAAAAAGTAATGATAATGATGATGATGATGATGATGATGATGATGATGATGATGATGATGATGATGATGATGATGATGATGATGATAATAATAATAATTATTATTATTATTATTATTATTATAAAAATAATAATAAAAAAAATAATAATAATCATTAGAACAATAACAATTATGAGAAGAAGAAAAAGAAGAAGAAGAAGAAGAAGAAGAAGAAAAACAACAACAACAACAACAACAACAACAACAACACAACAACAACAACAACAACAACACAACAACAACAACAACAGCAGCTTCCTTACCCGGAGCGACCAGATGCTCGAGAGGAATTTGGTCGACGGTCCACCCGCCCTCGTGGGTGTGGGCGGGGCGTCGAGGTGGGTTCCCGCGTGCTCGCCCACCTCCAGGCTGTTCCTCTCGTGCCTGGAATGCGTGAGGGTGGTGAGTGGGTCAGGGATGATGGTCTGGGGAGGTACAGAGGGTGGGTGAGGGTGAGGGTGATGAGGGTGGGTAAGTGGGTCAGGGGGTGATGGTGGGTGGGTGGGTTTTGGGAGGAACGGAGGGTGGGTGAGGGTGGGGTGGGGGTGATGGGGATGGGAGGGTGGGTCTGAGGGTAAGTGGGTGGGTCTGAAGGGGTGATGATTGGGGGTGGGTAGGTGGGTTCTGGGAGGTACTGAGGGTGGGGGTGGGTAAGTAGGTGGGTTTGAAGGAGGGTGGGTAAGTGGGTGGGTCAGGGATGATGGTGGGTGGGTGGGTGGGTTGAAGGAGGGTGGGTAAGTGGGTGGGGAAGGAGGGTGGGTGGGTAAGGAGGGTGGGTAAGTGGTGAAGGAGGGTGGGTGATGGGTGAGTGGGTAAAAGGAGGGTGGGTAAGTGGTGGGAAGGAGGGTGGGTAAGTGGGTGGGTTTGAAGGAGGTGGGTAAGAAGGAGGGTGGGTAAGTGGGTGGGTTTGAAGGAGGGTGGGTAAGTGGGTGGGTTTTGAAGGAGGGTGGGTAAGTGGGTGGGTTTGAAGGAGGTGGGTAAGTGGTAAGGAGGGTGGGTAAGTGGGTTTGGGTAAGTGGGTAAGCGTAAGTGGGTGGGTGGGTGGGTGAGTAGGTCTTGCGGAGAATGATGAGGATGGGTCGGTGGGTGGGTTGAAGGGGTGATGGGGTGGGTCGGTGGGTTTCAGGGGGGTGGGGGTAAGGAGGATGGGTGTGTGTTTTTTTTTTTTTTTTGGGGGGGGGAGATAATGAGGGTGGGTGGGTGGTTAACTCCGAGGGAATAAGGATAATGAGGGAGGGGGGGGAGATAATGAGGGGGAGGGTATTGAGGAGGAAGTTAGAGGGGGAATAAGGGGGGGAGTTAGGAGGGAGTTGGGGGGTGATGAAGGGGAGAGTTAGAGGGGTGATGCGGGGGAGGGGGTGATGAAGGGGGAGAGTTAGGGGGGTGATGAAGGGAGAGATGAAGGGCGGGGATGAAGGGGGAGAGTTAGGGGTGATGAGGGGGGAGTTGCGGGGGGGGGTGATGAGGGGGTTAGAGGGTGATGAAGGTGGGAGTTAGGGTGGGTGATGAGGGGGGGGAGTTAGGGCGGTGATGAGGGTGGGGGGGTTATGGGTGGGTGATGAAGGTGGGTAAGAGAGTTTGAAGGGACAGTGGGTGAGGATGAGTGCCTATGAGCATAAATGAAATTATAAATATCTAATCTATAATTGCACATGAACATCCTGTACAACTTCCACAATTACGTTTTCAAAAATAGCATCAGGATTAGTACCGGCATTACCACCGCCATTATTATCGTCATCCTCACCTCTATTTAAATTGTTACAAATAACCATCACCCTTCGTATCATCACTGCAATTAATACCATCATACCACTACCATCAACATGATACCACTACAACTGGCATCATCACTTCACTAGTGTCATTATCACCACAACCATATCATAACCACTACCACAATCATTATCATTACAATCACTATATCAGTCAAAATCACACTCTACATGATAATGACATTGATAAAGAAACGATTATGAAAAACATGAATGCGACAATTACAATAAGACCAAAACAATGAACTGAATGATATGAAATTTGGATTTAACTCAAAAGCACATAGATATCACTTTGATAGACAAAATGCTTTTAGAAAATCACTAATTGTAATTTTTAAAACCAATAGAATCTATTTCTATTAAGATTGGACTGTTCCAGTATTCATCACTTAATTATTATTCTCGAAAATTTGTCTACAGCTTCATTATGCAATGAATAAATGTGTACATACACCACATGCACTGACACACACAAACATGCAAATACAGTACTACTTTCTTAAAACTAAATTTCCCAAAACTTTCACTCGTTTTTACTCACCAATAACCGGACAAGGTATATCCTCGCTCCCCTTGTTTCAACTTAAAAGGAGCGACACCAGGAAGAGCCATCGTATCATCATCGAAATTGTACGTCAGATCTACATATTCGTCAGCGTTGGCACTGCCCACCAGGAACAGGCAGAGGAATAGGTGTTGGCAGGTTAATAAGATCATGGCGAAATGTGGCAGTTTCTTCGTTGTGAATTAGCACAGTCTTTACGGGGAGGGTCCAAGGAGCTATTTAAGGCTGCAAACGTACAGTATTTCGTAACGTTATTCGTCAGAAAACAGAGAGCAAAGGATGATGTAATGCTTGGTAATCCGTCACGTGTACCTTCGTGTTACAGCGAGGTGTATCGTGTACTCCTGCAAACGTATAAAAGCTTAAACGTTTTAAAACGACTCTCAGTCACACTAAAACTTCAACAGCACTGCGAAATTCACTTCACATATCTCATACACAATTAGCACCTTCTAACACACCATTACACGCCCATAATACACAGATATACGTTCTAAAATCCTGTCTTCACCCACTCCATTCCCCACTGCCCGGTGCCCATGGGCCAAGCCTTACCCAGGTGTGCGCGTGAACGTTTCTTTACGATGACATTCGTTCGGGGTCATCCTCGTCTTCATATTTTGATTGGCGAATTATACCCGTAATCAGTAGATCTCGGTATATGAAAGCTGATAATAGGAATAATAAAAACATGTATCTGCATATAATAACAATATATATCAATCACATCATGAAAGAATAAAAGCTTTTCGAGGACTGGAATGAGGTAGGCGAATACTCGGAGTGGGAAAAAAGGTCGATAAATTCGGAAATTGGCAAGACTTCGCAAAGACGGGAACCAATTGTAGGCGTTACGTCACAGACCGAGTTGCCAACTACCCCCTGGTAATAAAATACAAGCATCTGTAGAATTCGTTTGTGGATTAATCAACTATCTCACAGAAAACAGCGATTTCAAAAAAAGTTCACAGGCAGTTCTTGTTTAGATTTATAGCGCAGAAAATTGGCGAAGAATAGCACTAAAAAAGCATTATATGCACACACGCAGATCAAGTGTTGCTTATAAGTGTTTTATAAGTGTCCAAGATTTTCTATGAAAAATAAACTCATTTGTCTCCTTAAATTCGCTACCTTGTTGCACTCTTTATAAAATAGTGAGTTGTCTAAACGTAGTGACAAAGTAAGGATTAATTTTGTTAGCTAAATACGTTCGCTTATATCAAAGGACCTATCATATTATGCTCATTTCTTGTCTACGTATTTCCAGACTGTAGAAATCATGCATTTTCCTTACATATATACTTATCGTCGTTTTTTTTATATATAAAATAGAACCATTTTTTTACCTATATAGATTATACACACACACACACATATATATATATATATATATATATATATATATATATATATATATATATATATATATATATATATATATATTATATATATATATTATATATATATAATATATATGTATTAATAATATATATATATATATATATATATATATATATATATATATATATATATATATATATATATATATATATATATATATATATATATATATATATAGTATGTATGTATGTATGTATGTATGTGTGTGTGTGTGTGTGTGTGTGTGTGTGTGTGTGTGTGTGTGTGTGTGTGTGTGTGTGTGTGTGTGTGTGTGTGTGTGTGTGTGTGTGTGTGCATTTATATATGAATATTATATATATATATATATATATATATATATATATATATATATATATATATATATATATATATATATATGAATATCTTTATATGTGTGTGTGTGTGTGTATGTGCAAAAAAAATAAAAAGAAAGAAACACACACACACACACACACACACACACACACACACACACACACACACACACACACACACACACACACACACACACACACACACACACACACACACAATCAAACATCATTATTTTCAAAAATAATAAATACCAGTAGGTACTTAAGAATACACAAAGACGATGCTGATAAAATTGGTAAATATTTATTAGGTTACATTTAATATGAAACTAAACACAGGAAACATTTATAAATATGACTGAGCGTTTCATTTCTAAAACTGGGTATTTAAGTGCATAGTAAATATGCACAATTATTATAATGGGATTCACATACACAAGTTTTCAAAAGGAGTGAAATACACGTTTTACATTAGTGCAATATTAAGTTTCAATGTTACCATCATATTTATTGATATGACACATAAAACTAAAAAATTAGAACATAATATAAGCCATCCATCAAACTCCCTTTTGTTTTGCATTTATGACCGATTCCATAATTTAGTACATACAAAATTTCCCTTCTTATTCAACCTCTTCAGTACTATGCATTTAAAAATATTGCATACAATGCTAATGCTATTACAACTGTATTTTTTTCACGTGTTGATATTTTCCCTGCCGTCAAACAATGCTTTCCAAGTCTTTAAAGATAACAAAAGTACCAATAGTTTCAATCTAACACTTCAGGAGAAATGTCTATCTAATAACATATAAAATGTAGTCTTTATCAGGATTAAATAGACCAATTGTTATAAAATCTGTAAAAGACGACACAAATGTCTTCCACTATAAATATTTTGTACCTACCTTTGAATATTACATTCAGATCAAGCTGGATATGTAATGAACTTCTTTTACTAAACAGCTGCTTTTGTTTGAATCCTTTCCTTATTCTAATCTATAAGATGGAAATCAGGTAACTCTTTATTAACATGTTACAAATTAGATAAATCCTCTTAATTATCCAATCAAGTGTGCTTACCCTACAAAGTGGGATAAAAATGGAAGGCTGTGGGAAACCGCAATCCCGTTACTTACAAACTACCGAAGAGAAAAGGGGGTCGATGAAAAATGGAATCTGGAGAAACAAATTATAATTTCCTTTAACTAAATATATATTGTTTTTTAATCTTTACACAATGGGGGTTATTGTAATCACCTAATTGCATAGTTAATGTGTTATAAAACTGGGCTTTGAGACAACCAAATGAGGACAGTGTTGAGTATAATAATAATTTTCTTACATTCATAAAACTCAATCTCTTATTTTCTTGACTTTTTTTTTGTTTTTTGCACTTTATCTACCGTTGCATTTTACATGTTTTGCTAGTACTTCCTAAATTGTATTACTCTTAACATTTTTCAATCTTAAATAATTTTCTGATGCTAAGCCACCATTTACCTTATACGGAGACATTTAAAAACTGCTTCCCTTGCGTGAATTAGTCTCATATAGACAACACAGTTCATAATAAACCATAATACTACTATCAATTCATCGCTATAAAAGAAAGAGTTTTTCTAAAGATCTGGATATAGTAATAGTTATAAAACATAATTATACTAAACATTACAAAGAATCTATCTAAACTAGCACATTATCTTTCTTCAAAATATTTTTCATATCAAGAACATCTAAAAAATACTTAATAAATATCTCCAGCTATGGTGTGAAAAGGACATAAATATGTAGATATATATTCTCAACTGTTTTCTAATTAGGCTTACACAGTAACATATGAGCATAAAGACTACATCAACCTAATGAAACATCTCTTGAGATAAAAATGTTCCAACTTGAGCACGATTAAACCTAGCCTAGACGCACAATCAAGGCTTCTCTCTTCCTCTCTTTCTTCCTGAGAATACCTACTGGAAACACCTAAAACAAAAACAAAAACAAAAACCTTAGCATCAGATCACAGTCTATTTTGTCACTAAACCTAATCTCTTTTATCTGTCTTTTAATTTGAGTACATCAGAGGACATGGAGAAAACAAGGCCCATCCGGTATCACAATGGTTTGGGACAATAGAGTGCGGAAAGGCAAAGCCTCCTCCTCTCCCTTAGTTGAAGCCCTGCCAATCCGAGGCTTCCGACTCTTCGTCCTGTTCAACACCTATGCACTTGATGCCGTCACGCAGCATTGGAGTGCCCTTGCCTTTGCCTTAAAAAAGAAGTGGCAAGATCAATACAGTTAAATCTTCTGGAAGTAGGAATCCTGAATACAAAATTAAATACCAAAGGACTATTCAATGTAATTTTTACACCAAAAGAATGTTAAATAAGGTGATGAGTGGTACCATTTGGTTTCTCTATTTCTTGATTTATATTAAGAAACTACAAATTCTTGATTCTTCCCTAGAAATGAAAAGTATCATCAAGACATGAACAATACAGTCAATAACCATTTATAAAAAGGCTAGGGCTTTTGCCTACTCTTTAGAGGACTCAGGTGTACATATTCAAACATGCACGTGCACACACACACACACACACACACACACACACACACACACACACACACACACACACACACACACACACACACACACACACACACACACACACACACGCACACACGCACACCACCACCCACACACATCACACACACACACACACACACACAACACACACACACACACACACACACACACACACACACACACACACACTCACTCACTCACTCACTCACTCACTCACTCACTCACTCACTCACTCACTCACTCACTCACTCACTCACTCACTCACTCACTCACTCACTCACTCACTCACTCACTCACTCACTCACTCACTCACTCACTCACTCACTCTCAAACTTACCCAGAACCCTGGCAAAGATGACAAGCTGGAGCTGCCCTACAGAAGGTTTTGCCAGAAAGACCTTCTCCTTCAAAAGCTTCTCCTTGTGAGCCATGAGTTCAAGCTCCACCTCCAGGCCTTGATTTTCCACTGCCTGTTGTAAATGTTTAGGGATTCAAGTTCATATTTTTTGTGGGTTTTTTTTATTTTTAGCATAATCTACATCCTCTTTACCTATCTGCACCCCCTAAGTCACTGACCACAACCCCCTACACACAAAGATTTCACGAACTGGGCACACAGTTCACAGAGATTTCAATGTAACCCATTACCTCCAGGTATCGCATGTAAGTAGATGCCATGTCACTGACGGTTCACACAATGTAATTACCTCCAAATGTAAGTAGATAACTTGACCTGCTGATATAAATTGCTATCCGCATTGATATCCAAAGCACATTAACACCAACAACAAAACTCCCAAAAATTCAAGGACCGAAGAAATCAGGTGAGGTCACATAAGGCCTACTAATTGACTATGGTGACTGTGCACCTGTGAAAACATCTATGTGTAAACAGTTCAGAAAACAAAACTTCAGTGGACAATTAATAAACCTGGTGGCAATGGGTTAAAAGGGGTCCGTAACCACAATGAGTTTTGGCCAAGACCTGTTATTTTATCAAGATGAGTTATCGCAGGTAAATCACTGTGAAAGCACACACAGAACAAGGAAATGATTGGGGATACTGGAGAAATTGGTAAAGAGGTCTTGAGCAAGATGTGTAGGTATAGTGAGGTAGTTTCTTATGAAGGCAGAGTTGCTTCTAGGTTAAGTCTGGGTGACAGAGAGACCTATAAAATGTTCTCTGGAGTTGTTGAAGCTAATAGAATATATAGTCTATTATTGGCCAAAAGCAAACAGATATCTACACCATATGCTACTACTGCCTATGAATCAGGTGCTGCAATATAGTACAGCTTTTATCCTGCACCTAAAACCCAACTAAAAGACCATAAAAAGTGCACAGAATCCATAGAAACAATCCTATTTTCTTTAAGAACAAAAGCACCTGCAAATATTTTGCAATTCCAAATACTGTGTCTAGACTGAAGGTATATGTGTAACTACTTGTGAATTTTGGTAAGGAGGAGGTTAGATCATCTATTCTCAATAGCTATGAAGCTGGATCTAACCATGAGTAAATTGCATTTTATGGAATTAGAAAAGTAGGCAAATGCATTCTGATTTAGTAATGAATACAGTCAGATTTAATCCTAGGCATAAATTGTTGTTTGTAATCACAGAATAAATGAGCACTGACTAATCTACTCAGAAAATTTTTAAAATATATAAGGACAAATATAATCATATATATATATGCATATATAAGGAAGACAAATATGTAAATGTTTATCAATTATCTATGTACAAATTCATATATATACACATATATTTACAATTTTCCCAATGCAAAAGCATAAAACTTCAAATACACTAAGAATTCTAAACCAAAAGATTGGTTACACTTCAACGCAAATCTTATTACTATCATACTAAAATCAAGAACAAAAACAAGCACACAACTGAACCCTTGAAAAGAATTCCCCGCATTACATGTCACCTTTACCTACCCTGAGAGCTTTGGTCTGGCAGTAAACGCCCTGAGTGCCTGTCTGGTAACCTTCGCCTGCGTCCTTTACGGGTAATAGAACCGTGATGTGGTACCGATGAAGAAGCTGCAAAAATGAGAAGCAGCCTGTGTCACAATCTATCTTCCTTGGGTGAATTTATTTATCTATCTATTTATCTTTCATTCTCTTCCTATTTTATGCTTTCTTTTGGGACAATATCTGGCGAGATGGACTTTTATCTTAAAAGGATGAATTGAGGTTATAATTAATAATGAATAAATGAATAAATGGAATGAAGTTTAGACACTAAATTCTCCAAAGGTCTTCATATGAACATGAAACATTTTATGGGGCTTTTCCTCCTTGAAATATATAAACAGATAAATAAATAAATAAACAACTCAATAATTTAATTAATCATTAATAATAATAATAATGTTAATAATAATGATAATAATAATAATAACGATGATGATGACAAGGACAATGACAATGAAAATGACAGTAACAAGGACAACTATAATAATAATAATAACAATAATAATAATAACTACAACAATAACAACAGTAATAATAATAATAATACTAATAGTAATAGTAAAAATAATAATGAAAGTAATAACAATAACAATAATAATATAAAAATTATGATAATAATAATAATAATTATAACAACAATAAAATAACAATAATAAATAATAATATGATAACAATAACATTATAAAAAAACTAATAATAATAA